ACCTTATCAGATAAAAATATGCAGTGTGTTTAAAGAAAACCAAGGTCATGATTGCTGCTGTATTCTGCAGGTGTACACGTCTGACCCTTTCCCCAGCCTCTCCCTTGGATCCCAGTATGCTGTTACGGTCATGGCCCTGCCAGTGCCTGAGAAGTGGGAGAAGTTCTACCAGAGCAAGATCTTCTCCACACGCTGTAAGACCCGCTTTAAGTTCTAGGCTAGTCTAAATCACGCTGTTAGCTTATTTACTCTGCATTTAGTTATAATGACTTGTCATGCTCTGTCATCAGGAAGCTTATCTGCTCTCTAAGCATGGTACTTTACTTCATATTTCTTTAGTAAGACTATTGTCGAAACAATAGTGAATTTATAGTAATGAGCACATTTTTGTTTTGCAGCATGTGCAGAGAAGAACGGCCTTGAGGAGTGCAGAAAAGGTGTTTGACATTTTTATCAAATTCTCATAATTCCCAAATAAACAATGCCCACTAATCTATTGTATCTTTCAATATTTTATGGTCTGGTTGTAGACTGGTACCCCAAACATGTTGAGGTCCAGCAGAAAGGGACTGCGATCACTGTGACCTTTAACCTGGCTCCCCCAAACCTGGGCATCAGTAGCTACTTCTCACTGTGTTATGCAAACGGCATAAAGAACTACATAGACATAACACCTGTGAGTGCTTTCAACGTCTGCAGCTTTGTATTTTGTGTTTCAGTTTCATTCAGTGTATTAAAACCTTCTTGTTTCTGTTATTTATATTATGGACATATTTGATGATTAAGTGAACTTTATTATTAATTGTATCAACCATGCATATCGTTTCCTCAGAATTCCTCCAAAAACAAAACTCACCACAGCTATCAGCTGAATGACCTTCAAGAAGGAACTAATTACACCTGTGAGGTAAAATAAAAGAGCATTAAAGCTCATTTATACTTCACATTTATGCATAATTTATAAAACTATAACTGTTTTTCAACCAAAAGATCCTACGGTGGCTTTGTGTTTAATAAATAATAATGAAATATGTGTTATATGGGCTATACTCATGTATATATGTTTATTCTTTGTATTTCTTAACTCAAGGTCTACTTCCGGCTTCCAGATCAAATAACTGAGTGTAATGTCAAAAAGGTCGCTCGTGGTGGGAAACAGAGAGTTATCACTGGACTCTGTGGTTCCCCTGTGCTCTACGTAGCTTCTTAGCATCTTTAAGCTCATTGTTTTGGTTTTACAGGCTGCAACATTTCTCGCTCTTGCTACTCTCCACAGCGTGGTTCCTGCCAAGATAAAGCCACTGTGCCATACACATTACATGTTGTGCGGAACATGATCAAAGCTAGCGGCCAGCTGGTGACCATAGCAGAACAATGCAAATAATCTTGCTAATGTTGCTTCGGGTCTCGAGGATAAATAGGCAACCTATTGCTATACTAACTTTAAATGGTAATAATATCTCAGTGTTGTGTTTACAAAAAAAATAATTAATGCAGGTTTAAGATTATTTTGTCAAACTACAATTACTTTGGTTAAAGAATTAACTTTCATGCTCAACACTTCACTTGTCGCAGATTGCAGCTAATGAAATGGATGCAGTGAGGAAAACCTTCAATGTCCAGGTCATGCTCATTCAAAAAGGTAGGGGAGTTTTATTGCTGCTGATCCACACAATCACAGTGTATCAATATCCAAACCCCTCCTTACTCTGGAGATATGGAGATTTAAAGTGTGCTTTGGAAAAAAGTATAAAGTTAAAGTACAATACTTTAAAATGGTTGGAAATATTTTTATTTGTTTTCCTGTTATGATTTAGATGAAAAGATCCATATTGCTCTCATGTCTGCATGCTAATTACAGAGCTAGAGCCAGGAGGCAATTAGCTTAGCATAAAGACTAGGTAGAAACAGGTGTATCGGTTATAAATGATAATTAGAACACAGATTGGACAGTGGTATCAATCTTCTCATCTAACTCTTGGCAGTAATGCAAAGACTGTAGGCGCAATTCCTAAATGTCAAACTATGTACAGCGCCTCTTGAAGGTCTGTCACAGAACTGTAATCACAACTCCTCCATCCTCACCAGGAGCCTCACCAGGAGCCACACCACTCCCTGTCACTCCCTCCTTGGCTCTGGTTCTCCCACTGTTTCTGGCTGTATTAGCCATCGTTGTAGTCTTACTGGCTGCTCTCACCAGGACAAGGCTGCAGTTGAAGAAACTTTTCATAAAACCAGGTGCAAAGACATACCACTTACTTCATGTAAAATCACTATAATAAATCATGATAACTGTTCATTTCACACCAGGGAACCTTTCTTGTACCTTTTAATAGTTATTTTATTGTTTTTATTATTCATTGACTCTGTCACTTTTACTGTCTTGAACTTTGCAACATCTTCGTGTCTTCTGTTACATAAATAACAATAACATTTATGATTATCCTTACCTCCGGCCTGTCTTTGCCATTACCAGCATTGTGTGAAATGCAACATCACCAAGAGAGCGGCACTCAGGAGGAAGTAGTGTCGTTGCCCAGAAACAGGCTGACCCCTCCTCGTCTTCTGATTTGCTACAGCAGCTATGATGGCCCTGCTCATGTCAAAGCCGTCATGCAGTTGGGGGCTTTCATACAGCAGCACATGGCCACTCAGGTAGGTTCTGCTGTGGTAGAATTGGACAGACAGAAACCAATTATAAACAACAAAAGATAAATATATATTTTGGCAACATATTACAAAGCTAATGATTATATTTTCTATTTCTTTGATTTTCTTTCTTTTAATATAAGATGGGGTGACACTGTTCTCCCTTTTTCTTCCCAGGTGTGCCTGGACCTGTGGGACTCTCTGAGCGTGGCTGAGGAGGGCAGTATGGCCTGGCACTGCCGGCAGATCCGGGAAAGCAACTTCATCTTGGTGATCTGCTCTCGGGGCCTGAACCACAGACCTGAGCCTCCAGAGCCAGAGGGTGACAGCTCAGATGGGGAGGCAGACGGAGGGCTGGGCTTTGGGCCCAACGCCTTTAGCTCAGATGTAGCCATCAAACTCATCGGAGAGGAGGTGGGCCGAGCCAAAGCCAGAGGCCAGGACTTGTCCAAATACATGGCGGCCATTTTTGAGTACTCTGAGGAAACTGACATCCCCACTGAGCTGAGGCTGGTATCTCCCTACACGCTGACAAGGGACTTATCACTGCTCTTCTCTCACCTCCATGGGGTGGCTCTGCATAGTCCGGGGGGTTACCTGAAGATAAACCACATTTCAGAGGAAGGCTTTACTAAATTACCATCTGGAGCAGCTCTGCAGTGGGCTATCTCTGAGGCTGCGATGGAAATGAGGGCAAAAAGCTGTCACTCTGCAGAAAGAGACTAAACACACACAATAAAGGAATCCATACGCCCTGACTTGATGATGATCCTCAGCCCAATGTAGGAGAAAGGTTGGCCTGAAGATAAATGGTCATGATGGCCACAAACTTTTTAGCTCCATATCTGGCTAGAAAGGAGAAGCCATGAGTGCACAGCTAGAAGGTGATTAGTACATGTACAGTCCCTGCTGGTGTGCCCTTAACCACTCGCCCAGCTAAACACCCCTGCCTTAGTTGTGCTGCAACGTCAGCAACCATGCACTTTGACCAATTAAAAGTGTTAACATGCTACATACTCTTTGTGTGTACACGAAGGATTTGTACAAAGAACATCCAGTAATGTGTGCAATGGTCAGTTAAGCTATCTTAGACCTACAAATGTATCTGGTATACTTTTTTTTGTAATTTCTGGTAAAAAAAAATTTGTAATAAGCACTGTATATTAATTAAAGACTTATAATCCCTATATAATTGAGTTACTGAAGTGAGAATGTTTTCATTGAAGTACATATTAAACATTGTATACATGCATGTTGACAGTCATCCTTATAGTTTATTTATACATGTGCATATCTCATATTAATGGATTAATGGGTCCTATAATTTTTTGCTAATATGAGGTTACACATATGGAAAAATGTGTCATCTTGCCTTTTGTATTATCATTTTTGTGAAATGTGAATTCTCTTTTGTGCATCTAATCTAATAAAATAATATGGAAACAAGTTTTCTTTGGCTCATTAAATTTATAATATATGTATGGAGAGCCATTTCATTCAAAAGCCTGCCCAAACTGCACACCACCTATCCAGACACCACAAATCGTGCTGTTGACTGGAGTGGTGGTGTGCAGTCTGGATATCTGGTGTCTGATAAGCAGTGGCATGTCCAGATTTGTTTTACTGGGGTGGCACAACCCCCAATTGCATGAAATTAGCATAAAGTGGGTATGTCTGCAAAGGGGAGACTCATGGGTACCTATAGATCCCAGCTTCATTCACATATCTTGAGGTCAGAAGTGATCCCTTTGAAAATGGCCATGCCAGTTTTTCCATTGCCAAAATTGTGTCTAACTTTGTGCCATTATTTACCCCCCCCTTCCCCACAGGCTAGCATGAAATGGCTACCAATGGTCATCTAGTTTTATATGATAAATAGATTTACAATGGAGGCTGCTACAGCCTCTGAAAGACAGTGTGGAGTGGAAGAGGGAAGAATAATGAGGTGACCAATCAGGTTTCAGGGGTGGCCAGTACCCTGCAGGTAACTGGACAGGTGGTGTGCAGTTTGGGAAGGGTTTTCAATGAAATGGCTCTATGTATATATATACGATGGGTTTACTTTTATATATGACTGATGATGAGTGAATGAGAAAGAAAAAGCAAAAGGTATGTCCTATGCTGTAAGTTGCCAGGCTGGAGGAAAACCCCCGACTTTTTTGTGTCTAAAATAGCTTTTGTGATCAGCCTCATCTGAAGAAGATTAATGACACAGCGTTTGGAATTGTAGAAGAGAGGCACTGCTTTGTTTGCCATGTATGTATAAGGGACAATTCAATTCAAATTGTGATTCCGGTTTATTGACTTGAGCAACAAGATCTGGCAACCCGGTTGGATCGTCGACGTTGTGAGCTCATTCGGCTCTTTCTGTCAGACAGACAGCGTGGAAAGATGGTGCTCGATTTGGACCTGTTTCGGACCGACAAAGGCGGCGATCCAGAAATCGTCCGTGAGACCCAGAGGAAGAGGTTCAAGGATGTAACACTCGTTGATAAACTGGTGGCCGCAGACACAGAGTGGAGAAAATGTAAGCGCCTTTTCATTCCTGCTGTTTCAGTCATAGCGGCTAACGTTAGCGCGGTGGCTAATGGTGCTAACGCCAAACGCCGAACTGCAGTAAGAAATGCGGCTATTGTATGGTTAGCATGCGATTATAGCCAACTGTCACATCCCATCGGAGACTTCAAAAGATTTAACACATTTATAAAACCCAGTCTTCTATTCGGCTACTTGAAATGCAGAAATAGTACTCGAAAATATGCTTTTTTTTATATAAATTTGCTTGTCATCTCCACTCACACACACACATTGAAATGGTTACCGGGATGCTTTGGGGCATTATATTCATGCCATATTTACCAGTTGACATTCGTTTAAGTGTGTGTAAATAGACAAACAAACACCTAATTCACGTGAATTTGTCAGTATGCTAGGAAACAACATATAGACACATTGTAATGAGGTTTGGCATGATGTTCTCAGCGGAAGAGGAGCACGCTAGTGTTAGCACAGCTAACACCATTCAACAAATCTAAATGAGCCATATTGTTATCCTCCACGTAGTTAAGAGTAGTGACTTAATAACAAGTGTCTAAATACAGTAGAGGTAAATGGACACCGGATAACCTCACACACCCGCCGTCTTATTGACAGATGAAGAGCTAAATGTTGGCTATTGCTGGGTTAGCTTAGCGATGCCGGGTAACGTGCAGTCTGATGCAATCCCAGTGAAGTGGAGTCAACCTCGCCCTGCAGTGCAGCTCCACACTGTCGGTGTCACTCCGAACCAGCTAACATGGATGACATTATCAGCACATTGCTAATGCTATTTAAGTGATCAAATAAAACAGTCCCTTTACATTTTCATCATCATTTTTGATTGTACGAGGGCGAATTGCTGCTGACAGCAACACCTGACCCCAGGTTACTGTGCTACTGCAGCTCTCTCTCTCTCTCACTCACATACACACTCATAAGCACAGTCCCATGCACTGACTGACTGTGATTTACTTCAACAGGCCGCTTTACTGCAGACAACCTCAACAAAGCCAAGAACCTCTGCAGCAAGAGCATTGGGGAGAAAATGAAGGTATGGAAGCACCGGGACATTAAATGACCAAACAGGTTGTTTTCTCTTCTAGTGCAGAATGAAAGAGGAGGAATAACCCTGTCGGTATGTGTCCACTAACCAGACCTGAGACCAGAGAATATTTGGACTGTACTTTTGCTTCTTAACACCTGTGCTTGTTTTGAATGCAGAAGAAGGAACCAGTTGGGGAGGATGAGTCCGTACCTGAGGAAGTACAGAACCTGGAGTCCCTAACAGCTGAAACGCTATCGGTATGACTGTCGGTGCTCTAAGCCCTTATGACCACCTGTATGGTAGCATTTTTGCATTCTGTGAAACAAATCTCTGTAAACAGACTGGACTTAAAACCTACAAATTGCTTCTTTTGTTTCAGCCCCTGACAGTAAGCCAGATCAAGAAGGTGCGGTTGTTGGTGGACGAGGCTGTGGAGAAAACTGACAGCGAGAGGATAAAGCTGGAGGCAGAGCGCTTCGAGTACCTGAGGGAGATCGGCAACCTTCTGCACCCATCTGTACCCATCAGCAATGATGAGGCGAGTAGTTTGATAGAGGCCCATCTGGTTAGAGTGGGAGATGAACAGTTGGTACAAGAAACAAAAACTCAAATATTGCATTTACAAGGAGCACTCAGACCGTTTTGGGAGGAATAAAGAGACTTAAACATCTCGGCATGGTTTGTCTGCAGTTTTAATTGACCCTCATTTGCAAAGAGAAAGCTTGCTTGCGTTATAAAAATAAAATGTTTAAAATGGCCAGCAGCCATGAACATGGAAGCAGAAGCAGCTTTTATGACCTCTTTGTACTAGTTTGTTTATAGTGTGCATTTATGAGGTTGTTGATGGGCTGCAACTAATTGTTTTATTTTTATATACATTATAAAAACAAAAAGTTTAGTCTATAAAATGTCTAGAATTGTTTTAAAAAATGCACATCACAATTTCCCAGAGATTTCAATGTTTTTGTCTTCATGCTGCTGATGATATTTCTATTAATGGAAGAGTTGGACATTTTGGGAGATATTTACACATTTTGTAGTATCGAATGTACCAAAGTTATAAAATCTCCCCGCGGTCTACTGACAATTGCACATGCTCTGCAGAGACACAGAGCGGGCCGGTATGTGGTATTGCGGCTAAGGCACAGATACTCTTTATTTAACAAGCATGGACCAGGTAAAGAACGGTCATAGAGAACGGTCCCGGTTGGTGGCGATGTCATTCGGTCCCACGCTGGTTGCGATAGTTTCGATAGGCTACGTCATTAACAGCAAGCCTCCTCCACGTGGGGTGAATTGTATTGTTGGGCGACTTTGTAAAACATCCTGCTGTTCCTGAATGATACAGCGAAAGAGCAACAGAAAGAGGTGGGGCGGGGGAAGAGTGTGTGTGTGTGTGTGTGTGTGTGTGTGTGGAAAAGACCAAGATTAGCAGATTAAAGTAGTTGCTGACTTGAGAAATAACCTACTAGAAACTATTAGTTTAGTTATATTTAATGATATAAAACAGAAAACTAGCCGGTCCTCACATTGTATAAGCTGGAAGCCAGTAGTGTTCGGCGTTTTTTGCTTGATAAATGAAAAATGTAATTGTTGCAGGATAATTTTTAGTCTGTTGACTACTCAGCTTTATCTGATATTCCTCTGGTTTCCTCCTGACAGGACGCAGACAACAAGGTGGAGCGCACCTGGGGTGACTGCACCGTCGAGAAGAAGTACTCCCATGTTGACCTGGTGGTCATGATCGATGGCTTTGATGGAGAGAGGGGAGCTGTCGTGGCTGGGAGCAGAGGTTACTTTTTGAAGGTGAGTTCAAATATAAGCAGGGCATGAACTAGTCATTTACTGCAGACAGACACAACCAACATTCTTTCAAGCTTTTTTTTCCTCACCAAAGAAAAAGAGCGAACAACGCTTTGCTTTGTTACGTGTAAATCAAGAAACCAGCTGTTATTTTCCTCTCCTTCGTTTTGTTCAGGGGCCGCTGGTGTTCCTGGAGCAGGCTCTCATCAATTACGCCCTAAGGCTCCTCTACAGCAAGAAATACACCATGCTCTACACACCCTTCTTCATGAGGAAAGAAGTCATGCAGGAGGTCGCCCAGCTCAGCCAGTTTGACGAAGAACTTTACAAGGTAAAGGTTAACTTGTATTTAACTTTATAGGGTGCCATTGTTCGTCTGTCTGACTACACAGAGAATATTATGTCTTGCATAGTCCTGCATTTTGCTACATTGAGCAGTATAAGAACAATAGGAAATAATATTATGGAAATTAAACACCAACCAAATTAGAACCATTGTTTTGAAATGAGATATTGAGGTGTCCACATACTTTTGGCCATATAGTGCCACCTTGAGGCCCAAACAAAGAGCTGCACATTGAAGATAGTACTAGCAGTAGCGCACCTTTTGTCACATCTGCAGTTAGTAAACGTGTGCCAGTATACTGAATACACTATATACCATGATGAAACACAGCAATGGTAGCAATACCACCCGCAGTTTTTGTTTTCTTACCATCATTGGCTGTTGTTTCCCAGGGCGCCATGAACACAGCACAGCACTCCTTTCCTCATTAGCTGTTTTATTTTAATTAGCCACACAGGAGCACCTTTCCACTGGTCAACAGAGGCAGAGCAGCCACAGCAGAGCCAGAGAACCGGGCCCCTGGGTTTTCAGGTCCACCTACTGACAGACAGCATGCATTTTATTTATTAATATTATTTATTTTATGTGACTGAACTCACTGGCTCAGCTTCAGCTCAGGTCATGGTTTGGTTGCTAGAAGGGAGCCAGTGTGCAGAGGGATGGGCAGTGCCAGTGGGCTCTCATAGCCCAGTGTAACTATGCCATGGTCAATCGCAGTTAAGTTACTGTTTATCTTGAGCCAGGCCACACAGCAATGAACACAATCATACAGGCTTAATAGTGAAAATATAGATTTTTTCTTTTTTTTTTTTTAAATATTCGGTATCGGCCGATACGTCAAGTTCAGGGAGCGCAGTCTGTATCGGGAAGAAAAAAATAATATTGTAACATCTTTAGGTTTGATCAAATCCAAGTCAAATGTGGTGTGAGGTTAATTTCACTGTATTTTGACTCTTATGGTAGTTAGGAAAGTTTGAATAATATCATGATAACGGGATGTTTTTAACCACAGTAAGCATTGTAGTAACATCCCTATCTGCTGGTGCTTCATTTTTGGATAAAGCCTCTGAAAGTGACGTTTGTTCGGTACCAGAGGGGATGGAGACCATGTAGCGGTTCTCGTTGCTATGGCGAATGAGGGCTGTACGTTATTGTGAGCACAGCAGTAGCCCGGCCGACCCCAACCAATGTGTATTGCATCATGGTGCGACTACACAGCAGCGGTGCTGCAGCAGCCCACCACAAGCATTCATTGTCTGCTGAACGTATGAGCACAACATGTCTGTGACTCGTGTGTGGCTCCACTTGCTGAACTCGACCGATTTACGCTTGAAAATCTTACTTCATGTGGTAATTGTTGGCTTAAAATATATAATGTATAACAATTACAGTTACAACTAATATAAACATTTGTTTTTGCCACTATTGTGTAATTTAAAAGAAAAAAAAAAGAAGCACAGGACATGATTAAAACGGATAATCACTGAACTGTAGAAAATTAGTGAAACTATGGGACTGCTCCTGGTTTTTAATGACTGAGTTCATGTGGACTGTAAATGGATCTCTGCCCGGTGTTGCCTCCTTCTCAACGCCCG